CTCTTCCCCACATATCCAGTCAGTCCTGCAGATCTGACTTTCTTGGTATTTCTTACACCGGTCTCCTCCTTTCTCTACCACTGCCCTAATTGAGATCCTCAGCATTGTATTTATGGTGAGCTTTAACTGAATACCTACTATATGTGCCAGGCACGGTGCTAAGCCCTTATGAGGATTAGTCTGCTTTAACCTTCAAAACAACACAGAGGGATAGGAACCTTTTCCCCACTTTTCCTACCCACAGTGCAGTGTGCTGGACTGGCTTCTTCTCCCTCTTCAGGCCTCAGCTTACATGTCCCCTGTTCCCTCATTGCAGAAGCACTGCTGTTTCCCTCCCAGCATTTATCCCATTTGCAATTACTGTATTTGTTCACTTTTGTTCTCTGTCGCCCCCTCCATAGACTAGGCTGTCTGGAAGGCAGCCTCCACCTCCGCCTTGCTAGGGCAGGACTCCTACGGCCTCACAGGACTTGGCCCACAGTTGGTCCTCTATTGGCACTGGCTGAATACTGAGTTCGAGGGGTCCCGCCAGCTCATCAGCCCCCTGCAGCATCTCCCAACTCCCCTTTCATTCAAACAGAATGGCACTCTCTCTTCCCCTCAGCCTCAGTGGAATAACTGTGGGTTATCCTGTCATCTAACAATCTCTAATAAACTGGGTTATTTTTAGAACAGGTGAAAGCAACGATCTAACATCTCTGAGAGGATTTTCCACTCCGGTCTGACTTTCTGCTACAATTTGGTTTCCTGTGGTGGTTGCAGAGGATGCCAAACCAGTGGGCTTTGTTATTCTGGGGTGCAGAGAAGGGCCTAAAAGAAAACTAAGCCTCCCCTCGCACCTTCACCCACCCTGCATGCAAACAGAAACGAGGGGTGTAGTGCAATCCCTGGTGGACAGTGGGACAGGCTCTGGGAGGAGCCTGGGAGGAAGCTCCTCACTCACCGTGTGACCTTGGGCTTGTCACTTTCTCTCTCAGAGCCTCAGTTACTCATCTGTGAAAGGAGGCGGGTGGAAGGTTAATTCCGAAAAAAATCTCTGACTGCTAAGATTTGGATGGAACCATGAGCCAGTGGGTCTTTTCCATCCCTGCACATCAATTAGATGACAGTCTCGGTTCTTTCTATGAATGAAATGTAGCTAGTGCTTCTTATAGCACATATGCAAATGTATGCAAATTAATACAAAAATAAAGGACCCCAAAAGCTCTTGTTCACAGGACCAAGGTCTGCCCAGACCAGGGGGTGAGGGGAAATTTAGCTCATACTTTTACCTTGCTAGGATGTCTTTCCCCACATCCCACTCTACAGAGAGGAAACTGAGGCCCACAGAGGAAAGTGACTTGCCTGAGGTCATGCAGGAAGACACAGGCAAAGTACATGGGCAGCCAGGACTCCATTCTGGCACTTTCTCACCTGCTTTTCCTGCTATTCAGCCACAGGCCTGGGGGCTAGAACCCAGCTTTAAAGGAGGGATGAGAGCAGCCTCTGGTCAACACAAGGTGGACTGGACTAAGCTTTGTAAGGAAGTTCAACCAAACCACTCTGTTTAGAACAGAGAGAGGTCCTTTTGGTTATGTGATCAGGGCAAAGATGTCCTTTGAGTCAGATGTTGAAAAATGGAGATATAGAAAGAACATTCTACGTAGAGGCAACAGTGTGTGCCAAGGAGCAGATGCAGAAAAGAGGAAAGCACAGCCATGCTCAGGCACTCCTGCTTATAAAGACAATTTCAAGACAGCACCCCCTACCTTCATGTCCCCTTTCAATCAGAATGCACCCCCTCTTTTAAATGGAAATTCTGGGATGGCCACTGCCCATAGTCAAACAGTGAAAACAAGCCTGGGTAGCTATCTAGGACCAGCTTGTGTAAGATCTGAAATGGTAGGCTAAGGAATCTGGACTTTATTCTGAGAGCAATAGGGAGCCATTCTAGGTTTAATGGCAGTGAGAAAAGTCATCAGGTTCTTGTTAAGGATGACCCGAGTGGCTGCTGGCAGGGAAATCAGTTTGAAAACTGGGGCAATAGTCCCAGGGGTAAAGGCAAAGACCTGAACCCAGCCGAGGGGGCAGGGCTAGAGCATGGACATGGGTCTGAATGGAGCTGGGCTGGCTGGCTGGGGAAGCGAGGGAGAGGCCTGAGAACAGGGGGTTCTGCTTACTGCAGGGAGGAAGAAAGCTGAGGCCTCTCCCCTCTCTCTGTCTCATGACTGACTATCCCCCAAGTCGGTGCCCAGGCAGGAGGGGAAGGAGGTGCCCAGGTCAGGGAGCAGCTGCTTCCCAGGAATCTAGGACAGAGGGCAGCTTGACTTTGTTCTCTGGGGACTTCTATTCTATTTCTCTAACTTGGTCAGGAAAGACCTGAGGGCCTTAGGGAAGCACAAGTCAAATATTTCTCAAACATGTACTTAGTACTTACTAAGGCAAAGTATCAGTGTTGGAGACGGATATGCCAAGGCTGCTATCTCTGAATCTCCAACTAGGACATGTGGGCTGCGTAGGATTTCTTCAGAGTTGAGGTTTATCCATATGACAAGCACTGTTAATGACATCGGTCATGGATCGATATGTGTCCCCCAAAAAGATATGTTAAAGTCCTAACCTCCCCAGTACCTCAGAATGGGACCTTATTAGGGAATACGATCTTTGCAGATGTAGTTGGTTAAGATGAAGTGGCACTGGAGCAGGACAGGTCCTTATAAGAAGAGGAGAGAGACGCCCAGGGAGAAGGCCCTGTGGGGACAGAGGCAGAGACTGGCGTGATGCGGCGGGAAGCCAAGGAATGCCAAGGACTGGCGGCCACCACCCGAAGCCGGGGGAGCAGGAAAGGATTCTATCCAGGGTCAGACAGTATGGCCCTGATGACACCTCGATTCCAATCCTCTAACCTCCAGCACAGTGAGAAAATCAATTCCTGTTATCTTAAGCCCCCTGGTTTGTGGCACTTTGTTACAGTAGCCCTAGGAAACTGGTAAAACACTGAGCAAATCACACTGAGCTTTTATCCACTTAGGACCCCACTGATTACCCCTCTAAAGGAGGGCACCTTTCTAGAACAGACATATCCATGTCACCCCCTTAATCCAAACTTCTCCATAGCTCCCCAGTGCTCAGGGCAATGTTTTGAGGACCTCCTTGCCTGAGTCCTGGCTGCTCCCCAGCCACACCACTAAGCACCCTTGCCCCCACTCTCAGTGCCAGCACACTGCCCCCTCCCTGGGCCTCTCCCCTTGGTGCCCTCTGTCCCCTGTACCTGGTTTCTCTTCCCTTTCTCTGGTAAGAGCAGACTGCCTGCTTTTGAATTGTGACTCTAGCTGTGAGACTTCGGGCAAGTTCTTACCTTAATGCCTCAATTTCCTCGCCTGTAAAATGGGAATATTAGCAGTTCCTCTTTCACAGGGTGGTCTGAGGATGGAAACGTATGAAAGCCTTCGAAGGGCTTAGACCTTTACTCTGGTTTGTAGGAAGTACACAGATACACAGAACAGCAGTCGTTACCTCCCTTAGGTTTAGCATGCTGTCCTCCAGAAAGCCGCCCTGACTGCGGTCCTGGTGCCCCGTGGGATTGGGTCACCCAGGTATTGTATCTGTCTCGTCATGTTTCTGTCTCCACCATATTGTGCAACTTGTCCAGGTAGGGAAGGGGCCATCCTGCACCTCTGAGTCTGAGCACGCCACAGGTGCTCAATAAGTGCTTGTTGAGTGAACTATTGAGCAGAGAGTTGCCAACGGCTGAAGAGATCTGGGAGGCTGAGCTTGGGGACGCTTTCATAGGACAGTCTACCCATCCTTCTGGAAGTGAAAGTCTTACCGTCAGTTCTGAGAGCATGAGAAAGAAAGTGAGCCCCAGAGAGAACAAGGCAGTGGGCAGGGCCTGAGCCCTGCTCCAGCGCCCGACTTTGCCCCCCAACCCCAGCACATCCTGCCCTCCATGGCACCCCTCCACATGCTGTCGCCCACGCACACCTACCCTGTGCCTGGCCAGCAGCTTCCTCTGACACACATTTTCCATCGTTGGGTGGGGCAGAGCAGGTTACAGGTGAAAACAATCTCGGAGGTTTCCTTTCCAGGGTCCTCCCCCACCTCTCGGTCCCCTACCCCAGGTTGGTTCCTGTCCCTCCTGCACATCCCTGTCCACAGACCCTGACTTCAGTGGCTCAGGGTCAGTACAGGGCTAGAACATTCAAGATGAGGTGCTGCCTGGTGTCTTGGATCAGGTACAGGACAGGCAATCGGGATGCTAGCTCGGCTGCATTTGAGCTGTGGGACTCTGGACAAGCTGCTTCCCCTCTCTGAGCCTCTTTTCCCCCATCTATAAAAAGGAGTAGTAATTCCAGTCCCTCCGGGATTATTGTGAGAATGAAACAGGACGATGGAGAGAGCATGAATGAGCTCTACAATCTGATTATTTGTGGAAACAGGGCAGGAGCCCAGGGGCAGTGGGGAAGTCCTTTTCCGGGCCTAGCACCGTCCAGGCACTAAGGGTGCTCTGGTGTTGTTGAGTATGGGGGAGACTCTAGTGGAAAGAGGAATGGGAGTCAGAGGCCTGGGTTCAGGCCCCCCAACTCTCGTGACTTGGTATGTCTTTTGTCCTTTCTAGGCCTTGGTTTCCCTGACTTAGAATATGAGGACTAACTCAGCTAATGTCTAGGTCTTCTGTATCTGACATATCAGACCCTGTGCTGTGCTAAGTGCACAGCGTCCTTCTGACTAGTCACCGTTTTTAAGCCACTCCGGTGAAATCTTGGCTGGAGGCCAGTCCCCCCACTGGCTTCTGTTGCAGGTCCTCTTGTGTCACTGGCCAGCCCGCATCCCTGTCCATCTCATCAGCCAGGCTTCCTTCTTTGGACTGCACAAGGCCCTGTTCCTCTTTCAAGAGCCGCGCGGCGTTCCTTCCTCGGAAGCTCTTCTCTGACCCTATCATGCACCTTGTGCAGGTCCTCCTCGGGGCTCTCACTGCCCCTCTTAGGGCCCTCCATCACCATATTTCCTCCTTTTCTTAGATTGAGTGTCCAGCTGCTCACCAGGCTTGAAGGAGGATCTGAGTCTTGCTCAGCTACACATTGAACAGCCAGCACACGGACCAGCTGCAGAGCTGATGGTGATGGGGCCGGGGGGATGGATGAATGGGTGGATGAAGGAATGCAGGAACTGAGAGATGGGCGCATGGATTGGTGGCTGGATGCGTGGCTCTACAGGTGGGTGGTGAAGAGCAAACAGGTTGGTGAATACTTAGCTATTGGTCATTATTTTCAGCATGACTCTGGAGTCACCAAACCACATCCTGGACTCACCAGGGAACTCCCTTGCTTCCAGGCATTAATCCATGGCACTGGTTTCCCCTCTGAAGCATGAATGTGGGTCTAAATATCCTCCCATGATTCTCCACATGAGAGCCTGGGGTAGGCTGCCCATCAGAAAGCCTTACTTTTATCATCCCATGTCTATTATTTCCCCAGCATCAGTGGGAAAATGATGGTGACTAGTTCACTGCAAACTACATACTCCACTAGGCTTGGGGAGTGGATGTTTCTGGAAAATCCAGTGTTTGGCTAGGAAAGAACTGCTGACTATGGTGTTGGCAAAGGTGCCAACATGAGCTGCTGGCTACCTCTCAGTGTGCCTGAGTTGCCACTACAGACCTTCCCATCCCGTGCTTCCATCCATCAGCACGTGGCTCCCCATAAAAGAGAATTTTACAACTTCCCAGCAGCCCCCAGTTCTCTTCTGCCACCCTATCCCCATGCCATATCAGGGACCTAGAAAAATAGAGGTCAGAACCCATTTTGGAGGGTTGTTCCCTTCCCCCAGTCTGCCCCATAGAATCAGCTAAACTGCAGACATTACAGGGTTTGGAGTCAGAAGACCTCAGCTGAAGTTTTGACCTTTCAGCCCTTGTCAGCTGCTTTACTCTGGGGAAGGAGGGGTTGGCCCAGAGACAACAGGGCAGCAAGAGGAGATAGGCTCTGGAGCTACATAGAGGCAGGTTCAAATCCTGCCCCTCCAGGGAGTAATTGGGACGTTGGGCAAGTCACTCCCTCCTTTGAGTCTCTGCTTCCTCATCTACAAAGGGGAAGAAACAGCACCATTTAGCTTCCAGGGCTGTTGTGAGGATCAGCTGAGATGCTGCCCAAGGCTGGCCACACATGGCTGTTCAGCGCTGAAATGTGCTGTATGTGTAAAATATACATCAGATTTTGAAGATTTAGAAAAAAATGTGAATCCTCAAGAATTTTTATATTAATTTTAATTGATAATACAGGGTGGTAATATTTTGAAATACTGGGTTAAATAAAATATGTTACTAAAATGTTTTTGAAGATGCTGCTCCGAAGTTCTTCTGTGCAGCCTTCCCAGCATCTCCCAGAGTTTGATGGTGTCTCTCTGGCTTGCCACAGGGTTTGCACACACCTCTATTATGGTTTTCAGCAAATACTGTGGTTGTCTGTTTAGGTGTCTGTCTCCCCAAGTAGCCTATGAGCTCCTTGAGGTCAGGGGCTATAACTTGGTCATCTCTGCTCCCTGCACAGAGCCAGGCACACTGCAGATCCTCAGCAAAAGTTAAATTCAAAGGATAAATATATACATGCAAAAGCAGTGTGAATTTTTATTATTCTACCATGCCTGGAGTCCTAGATGAATACAACAGGATATATATCACACTAAAACCATGATGAGGGCCCTGGCAGGAAACAGATGGTGCACTCAACTTGAGTAATTTGAAGAAAGTTTAATCAGGGGACTATTAACAAACCTGTGGGCAGGATTTAGGGAAACCAGGAGGGATGGTGCAGTATTCCAGCGCTGGCAACAATGGGGAGCTGTGATCGTCCACGGCCTGAAAGAGGGTGAGGGCGAGGTTACAAGGACCCAGAGGTGCGTGCGTACAGGGGGCTGACAGAAGCTGTAGCCTTTGGGTGAGGGACACAACCAACCTGTGGCAACCCTGCAGGATGGGCCAGGGGAATAAATAAGCAGTCCCCATTCTCCACCTACCCTCCGCCCTCCTGACCCACCCAACCAGAAGGTGGAAAGCAAAGAACACCATTGATGTCGTCCACAAAGGTCACCTACCTGAACACAGAAAAGGATGGAGAAGGGCAAAGGGGAATTCTGGAGAAGCAACCAGAGAAATCCAGCACTAGAGAGGACATTTTACCCCCAGGATCTTTGAGGGCCTCTGACATCCTTATAAAGTACAAGAAATGGTCACAGCCAACTGCAATCATTAGTCAAACAACTACTGAATGTCAGGTGGTGTGCTAACCCTTTTCCAGGCTCAGAGAATCCAAGGGCCTTGCCCAAGGTCACACAACAGGAAATTGCATAGCCAGGACTGGAACACGGGGAAGCTCCAAAACTGAGGTTCTCAGGTCACCTCTTTGCAACTATGTGTCAGATAATACACCAAGCACTTTATCTACATTATCTCTAATCCAACAAAACTCTGCAAGGCTATGCCCCTTTTCCTGTTTCAGAGAGGTCCAGCAAATTTCTCCAGGGCCATACAGCTCATGGGGGTGGGGGATTGTGGGGGGATAGGGAAGCAGGGCTGGGGAGCTTGCCACTAACTGGGGCAGGTGACTGGCAGACTGCACAGTGGCAGCCTCAGGGATTTTTTTAGCCCCAACGGGTGGAGCCACCTCTCACCAGGTGCCTCCTGGAGTCACTCCCCAGCTGCAACCACAGGATTTAGATTTTCAGAGCTGGGCAGGGCCCTCAGCATCCTCTAGACTGGCTCTCGTCTGTGACTGTAAAACTAATAATAATCCCGGCAGAGACAGCTGCAGCTTGCAGAGCCCCTGTTGTCTTCATTCACGGTCTTTCTCTACATTGTCACTAAATCTGACCATGACTTTCCCTGAAGACTGTGTAATATCTGCAGGGAGGTATGCTGGGATACCCACTTTGCAGATCAAGAACTGTGGCCAAGAGGGAAATGACTTGCCCATGGTCACAGAGCTCATCAGACCCTATGCAGCCAGACCTGCCCTAGGGCAGGGTATGCAGCTAAGAGCGCTGATTCTGCACCCAGACAAGCTGGGTTCATCCTGGCTCTGCACCTACCAGATGTGATGACCTTGGGCAAGTCAATAGTCTGTGTCTTAGTTTCCTTGGCTATAAGGTAGGGATGACATTAGCATCTATTTCATTCAGCTACCCCTGTTCCTGCCTTGGCTATGTGATTTCCTGTTGTGTGACCTTGGGCAAGTTCTCTGAGCCTGGAAAAGGGATTAGTCCAGCATGGTTATAGTGAGGATGACGTGAATGACTATACATAAAGCACACAAAACAGAGCCTAGAACATACTAAGGGCTTTATGATCATTCTGCCTTTGAGGCCACTGAGCTTGCCAATCACACCCATGGAGGCTCTTCAAATTGTGTTCCTGTGTGATCCTGGCTTTCAGAGTGACTGACCAAGTAGCCGTGCATTACATGCTCTTGCTTGTCTCATCTAGCCCTCACCATACCCCCACCCCCATTTTGCAAACAAGGAAACTGAGGCCCAGAGAGAAGTAATGACCTGCCCAGGCCTTCACACCTCAGAAATCACAGAGCCGGGATGGCCACTGCGACGAAGCGGGTCATCCCCACTGTCTCAGCTACAGGAAACCATATTGTTATGGTGATTGGTATTGTTGTCTAAAACAATACCCTAGACAATAACAACGCAACAATTATGGAGGGTGCTTATTTCTACTGGCTCCGCAATCTTCCCGAGGCCCGTGTGGAGGGGGCCGGGAGGTTTAGAAGAGGCTCCCCGAGGCAGGATGAAGAAATAAGCAGTGAAACCTCAGAGCCAGGCCGCAGGTGCCGGGCGGCAGGTGCCGGGAGGGAGAGCGGGGCAGGAAGCGGCGGGCCATTTCTTTCTTTCCTCTTCTTTCTTATTTGTTTGAGAAGCAACTTTACTTTCTAAATCGGTCATTGTCACCCGTTGGTCCCCACCCCACCTGGGCCAGGGCCTCTGGTGATGGGGACTCAAGAGGAAGCTCTAGGGGGCAGGAGGGATGAGGGTGCTAGGTGTGGCAGGGCCCAGCTGGACTTGGGGGGGCCTCTTCCCCAGCAGGGGCCTCACAGGCCACCTTCAGATGACCAGGACTGGGCAGACAGTGCCTGCCCGCCTGAGGGGTGACCTGAGTGCTCCAGGTTCAGCTGCCAGGGGCAGGGGGCCCTTCATAAACAGGGAGGTAGTCAGGCCAACGGTTAGGGACATGGCTCTGCAGTCAGAGCCGTTTGGCTTCCAAGCTCTATGACCTTACTTCCTTGAGCCTCTGTTTTCTCACCTGCAGAAGGGGAGGAGCTGCAGTGAAGATTAAACATAATTAAACAATGTGATCGATGTACAGCATTTAACACATTTACTAGTACTTTTACTAGCTGGAGATTTACTTAAGAAACCAACAGTTATCGGGTATTTACTACATGCCAATCACTTTTAAAGCATTGGATACATATATTAATTCATTTAATCAGCAAGATAACACTCTCTCCACTTAACAGATGAGAAAACTCGGGCACGTGGAGAGGCTCAGTGTGCCACACACACACGGGCAGACCCATGTTTTGCAGGATGTTAGTAGAGTTTATACAATATTGGGGAACGCTTTTAAGAAAAATGGCATGAAATTATGAATGCAAAATGATATACAAGGCCATGCAAGACCCAAGGCTTAAACTTCATGAGCCTCACCTTTAACCTTCCTCTAAACTCTAGACCACCCGGGTAGCCAGTGGCAGAGCCCAGGTGGTAACTTCAGTAGTAATGGTGGATGAGGCAGTCTCTGCAAATGCCATGTAAGATGCCAGTGAACAAGAGACAACACTTACTGCCTTGCCACTGTGCTTGTCTTCTGCCCTACATTCTTCTAATTTAACTTTCGTTACAACCCAATGAGGTGAGCGACATTATTACCAGCTGCATTGTGCAGATGAGGACATTTACATTGGTGAGGCTCAGCAGGCCAGTGACTTGCCTGAGGACACAGAGTTTAGAAGTGGCAGAGCAGGATTCAAACCCAGGCAGCCTGACTTCAAGGCCCCTCTGTTTCACCCTACACTAATTGGTTACCTCCCTCATCCCTGGGGCTCAGCACCTCCTGCCATGACTCTTCACCTCCCTGGGCAGTTCCTCTCATCTCTTACCTGACAGCAGCTTGGAGTGGGGACAAGACATCCCCACTTTGGAGTCAGAAATACCTGGACACTGATCCTCACCCTGTCACCTCCTAGCTACAAGTCTCTGAGGTCAGCATCTCATATCTCTGAACCTCGGTTTTCTCACCTGTATCATGGGTTTGTATAATTTATATGGATGCATTGATTATTATTTTTCCTGTTTTGGAATGCGCTATCAATAAACCACTTACTATATATGTATATTTGCCTCTGTTTCCAGACTGGATGGCTGCCCTGGATAATACTTCATACAGTAGTTTGAAGCACCAGAGAGAAAGAAATATGAAGGGCCCAGTCCATACTAAACGTTTGCTGTCACGGAGGCAAGGTGAGAGGTCACCTGTGAGGAGTGGATTTTGGAATGGAGAAAGAGCACAGGACCTGGTGTCAGGCAACCTGCATTTTATATGGATCTGTGTGACTTTGAACAAGTCACTCCCCTCTTTCTGCGCTAATTCTCTACTTGCAAGGCGCATGCACCATCACCCCAGTGCAGGGATGAGATTGTCTCTAAGATCCTAAGAGATTGAATTTCTGTGTAAGGACACAGGGCCCCTCCTGAGCCCCTCGGAGGGCTGCTCCTATGAAGGCATTCCTCTTCTCTTGGGGTGCTACCACCCTTGAGACAGAGAGGAGAGTTTTCAGTGAACTCTCACATTTCATCTGCTCTGACAGAACCACAGTGTTGTAGTTTGGCACGTGGGCCTGACAGCCAGACAGCCTTCATCTAATCTGTTTTCTCATTTGCGAAATGGAGCATGGAGATAATAGACTTCCTCATCCCCATTTTACAGGTAAGGGAAGTGAGGTCCCAGGAGGCTCAGGTCTTGCTGAAGGATATGGCTCCTACCTTGTCTTTGTCCTGCCATACCTGCCCGCCCTCCCCCAGGTGTGGGCTTTCCCTGTGGGAATCCTGGCCTCTTCCCCATCCCAGAGTGCTGGGTCACACTGTCCTGTTCTCACTGCCTGGCATCCTGTCTCTCCTCTCTTTTTCACCTGGTAAACTCATCCAGTGTGGTCAGCCCCTGGGACAGCTCTGGTGCCCCCACTTATAAGCATGGTGACTTTGAGCAAGCCACTTACTCTGTCTGGGCCCCCATCCCCTCATTCACATAATGGGACAACAGTCCCGACCTCATATGTGGAAATAACTGCTCAGCACCCCCAGCATCTGACCCACTGCAAGCACATAGGGAGTGTCGGCTATTTTTGTCTTCAAAGTGTCCTTTGGACCCACCTCAAAGCTAGCCTTCTTAGGGGGCTGCCCTGGTGCCTCCATATGTACCAAGTTTCCCTGGCCTCTCACAGCCCATTGCTAAGGCTCTTATTGCCCTATACTGTAACTATAGGCCATCATGTCTGTATCCTATACCACCTAGACTCTAGTGTTCTAGTCTTCTTGGCATCTGCTGTGTCTGGCATACTGACTGGTATACAGCAGGTGCTCAGTTAAAGGTTGTTGAATGAATGAATGAATGAATGAATGATGCCTCACTGGTGCTGAATTTATTAGCTGTACTTTTCACCCTGTCAGGAGAGCAGGATTCTGGGTGTTATTACTAGTGCCATTCCTACTATTTCTTCTATCAGTCTTCCTCATCCCCATTTTACAGGTAAGGGAAGTGAGGTCCCAGGAGGCTCAGGTCTTGCTGAAGGATATGGCTCCTACCTTGTCTTTGTCCTGCCATACCTGCCCGCCCTCCCCCAGGTGTGGGCTTTCCCTGTGGGAATCCTGGCCTCTTCCCCATCCCAGAGTGCTGGGTCACACTGTCCTGTTCTCACTGCCTGGCATCCTGTCTCTCCTCTCTTTTTCACCTGGTAAACTCATCCAGTGTGGTCAGCCCCTGGGACAGCTCTGGTGCCCCCACTTATAAGCATGGTGACTTTGAGCAAGCCACTTACTCTGTCTGGGCCCCCATCCCCTCATTCACATAATGGGACAACAGTCCCGACCTCATATGTGGAAATAACTGCTCAGCACCCCCAGCATCTGACCCACTGCAAGCACATAGGGAGTGTCGGCTATTTTTGTCTTCAAAGTGTCCTTTGGACCCACCTCAAAGCTAGCCTTCTTAGGGGGCTGCCCTGGTGCCTCCATATGTACCAAGTTTCCCTGGCCTCTCACAGCCCATTGCTAAGGCTCTTATTGCCCTATACTGTAACTATAGGCCATCATGTCTGTATCCTATACCACCTAGACTCTAGTGTTCTAGTCTTCTTGGCATCTGCTGTGTCTGGCATACTGACTGGTATACAGCAGGTGCTCAGTTAAAGGTTGTTGAGTGAATGAATGAATGAATGAATGATGCCTCACTGGTGCTGAATTTATTAGCTGTACTTTTCACCCTGTCAGGAGAGCAGGATTCTGGGTGTTATTACTAGTGCCATTCCTACTATTTCTTCTATCAGTGCTAGAAGTCACTCCCATTTATTGAGGAATTACTATGTGCCAGGCATTGGGATAAACATTTCTCAGGGCCATCTTAATCAAACCTCTCTGTCACCCTATGGGGTGGATGTTCTATTAGAATCCTCATTTCACATACAAGGAAACAGGCTGTGCTGGGGGAGGTAGTAGAATCTTTATCGGCTCGACCAGGGTCCACAGTCTTTCTACTCCAGGTGAGGGCAGGTGGTTGAAGCCCAGAAGAGAAGGAGCCCATTACCCCTCATGGAACTTTCCTTTGACCATTCCCTCCTTACAGAGCCTCTCTCCTCCCTTGAAGACCTTGCATCTCCCAGAACTCCTCTCCTACTTCTCAGTCTCCTTCCCAAGTTTTGTCCAACTCTGAAATGTTGGTGTTCCCCAGGGTTCAGCCCTCAAGCCTCATAGTGAATCCAAGCAGGGATGCAGTTTATTTTGCCTGCCTGGCATATTTTCCAACCCCTCTCATTTCCTGTTCATGTGGGCTGGTGGGGTGTCCATCACGGGGCCCCACCCACTGGGAGGGGCAAGTAGACCACCCTCAGTGCCCCATTGTCCTTGGCTCAGGCCACCTTCAATCACTGCTTCAGTCTGTCACCTCTTTCCTCTTCTTTCCTTTACCCGTCCTCCAGACCTGTCACTGCGGGAGAACTCACACCTCACCATGTTGCTCCCCTGCTTTGAACCCCACATGGCTTCCCATCAGCCTCAGGACAAGGTCTGAGCTCCCTAGGGTGGCACTGGAAGCCCTGCCCAATTTGACTTCACCCTGAACCCATCTCTTCCTCCCATCCTGCATGTCAGCCTCATTTCATGCCCTTTCCCTGAACACTCTACATATTTTCTTCTCCCTGGACTTTTCTGTTGCAATTTGTCTCTGCCTTGAATGTGCCTCCCTTTCTCACACCTGAATTACAATCAGCCCTCAAAGAGTCCTCTCAGGAGTGACTCCTCCAAGAAGTCCTCCTCCCTGTATCCCCTGCCCCACCGCCAGGGAGTCCACGTCCCCCCTCCTCTGTGCTCCCAGACACCTTTGCCTCTGGGCTAACCGGACCATGAGCCCCTGCGGGTAGGCCCTCCCTCTCCACCGTTGCACAGGATGATGTGGTGGCTGTAGAGAAAATGGAAGTCCCATGGCCAGAGTTCTCACCTGACCCTGGTCTGCTTGCCCACTGCACACAGACAATCTCACGGGCGCAGGCTCACACGTGGGTTGGCAATGGGCTATTAGTGACTTTATATAAAGAGCTCTGCCCAGTGCTCTGGGGCTGAGAGGCATCTGAAAGCCCTGGAGGGAGAGGTCAGCTTGTTGCATGCAGACTTGCCCTGAGGTGGACGAGAGTCTAGCACCTGACCTGCCACAGCTAGAATAAAGCTGGATATAAACCTTTTTACCCACAACGGTCCATTGTCTTTATTCAGTCTGGCTGAATCCAGAGTGAACTTGCCTGAGGCTGAAACCCTCAGGTGAGACATGGGCTCCACGAGCAAATGCGAACCCGAGTGGACCCTCTCACAGGGATCTTCGGAAACTTACTGGCTAAATCTAGTGTGGTTATTGACTAATCCTTGACCCGTTATAACAGAGAGCTACTTGGAAGAATCACAATTATAGCTCTTTGCCTGTGGACACGCTTGATAAAGTGCTTCCATGTTCATTTTCTCTCTTGGTCTTTACATCTCTACGGATTGTTAGGGAAGGTGTTATCAATGCCATTTAATAGACGGAAAGCTTTGCTCAGAGAGTGAGGGATGGAACCAATCCCCAGTCTTGGGCAAGCCTCTGACTCTCTCAGACCTTCAGTCTTTTCTGATCCAAGCCCTCCCCAACCTCCCCATTTCCCAGATGGGAGCTGAGCCACGGAAAACCCGTAGACCTGAGTAAGGCCCACTTCTGGAGCGGGCCAACAGCGACGATAGCGATGGTAACCCAAGTCAGCTGCTGCTCTGACTGTACACAGATGCTCCAAGCACTTCGCTAGCATTAGCCACCTAGGAGGAAGGCTGAATCATTCCCATTTTACAATTGAGGAAACCGAGGCACAGAGCAGATTCTTGCCTCTTAGGTTCCTCCTGATGCCTTGGTATTGGGTCCAGCACTTTAGAGTTTATAATGTTCACCTCTCTTTCCTCATCTCACTAGCCTGACACTGAGAGAGGGATATTCTCCCATTTTACAGAGTTGGCACCCGAGGCTTGGAAATCAATGGTCGAACCTGGAAAAATAGCACCAAGCCATCGGATCCAGGGAGTGCGCCCAGAGCCAGGAGGCACAGCTCTGGCCATGGCAGCCGGGAGGGGAGTCCCTGTCATCTCCCCGCTGCAGCGCAGAGCCCAGCTTTCCTGCCGAGGAGCCTGCCAGGTGCGCAGCCCGTGGCCGCCGCTTGGTGGGTGTGCCTGCGTGGGCACGGGCCAGGGACCCGGCGGGCGGAGCCCCACGCCCATCCTCCCGCCGGCCCGCCCTTTCTCCCGTGGCTGATGGCAGGTGAGTGGGTGTCGAGGAACCGCCAGGCAGGGAGAAAACAGGACGCCGCAGAAATCAGATTACTCACCTGCAGCTGCGACTACCCAGGGCTAATAAAAGCTGAGCTTCCTGTTGTTTCTTTATTACCACCCTCTACCTCCCCCAGCCCCTGCCCAGCTCCCAGCTGCAGCCAGAACCCTAACTGATCCCCAAACACCAGTAGCTTCGAGGTTCAGGACCACTCCGCTGCCTGAAATTCCACCTCGTGTGCAGCACATGACCAGGTTAATGTTGCCTCAAGGGTGGCCCTTGGTCACCTTCATGGGACTCACCTGGTGTGCTGGTTAACAAAACAAGTCCCCAGATGCTGCTTCACACCTGCTGAACCAGAATCTCTGCAGTTTGGGGCCCAAGAGTCTGCACATTCATATCAGTCTCTGGTGATTTGTAGGCAGGTTGAAGTTTGAGAACCACCAAATAACAGATGTTGTAGGTGCAGGTGAGGTGGGTTTGTTTTTCCTGCCTGCTACCTACAAGTGATGGATGGAACCTCCCCCAAATATTGTTCAGTAAGTCCCTGACCTCAGGGCCTCCGTTTGCTTATCTGTTAAACTGGGGATGAAAATAATACCAACATCTTGGGTTTGCAACAAGTCTCAAATGAGACCATAAGCTTAGCATGTTTCCTGATGGTTGTTCCTGGAGTTTCCAATCAAATCAGAATAGACACTGAACAAAGAGGAAGAGTAGGACCTCGGGGTGAGCAGGTTGCGCATAGTTGTAGGGGGACATTGGAAGAGCCATAATTCACTCTGGGAATATTGAGAAAGAAAAGCCCTTCACCATGAAACTTCTCCAATTTCAGTCCTCACCATGCCAGGAAAATATTCCTGCTCATGGCTTTGATAACTCCTGATGGCCACATCTGGTGGCCTCTTCTCAGCCTCTCTGTGACATCCGACTTCAGGGTGAGCCACGCCCTCCTCCTTCAAGCTCTCACCTCTCTCAGCTTCAGGGACCTCTCATCTTCCTATTTCCTCCTGCCTCGCTGGCAGCTCTTCTGCAGTTTCCCCAACTCTTACCCCCTCCCCCTGGGAACACGGCACCTTAGCGTACTGCATACCATCCATACCCTTCCTGAGCAACCTCACCCCTCCCAGTTCCCTCGTGCAAGCTGAGCTCTGCCCTGAGCTCCCTGTAAATGCAGCATCTCTAGCATCTCCACTTGGTGACCCCCAAGTACCCCAACTCAACTCAGCTAAGTCTGAATCCCCCATCTTGCTCTCCCTCCAACTCACGTCTCCTTCTGGGACCTCAGTCTCAGGGCCTCACACCTGGATATTGTCGAAGGTGATTTCTGCTCCTTTACCCCCACCAGCATCTTCCAGTCTGGTAGTGCTAGAATCCATCCTCTTATCCCTGTGCACTCCAGACCCCCTAACTCAAGGCTCCATAATCTCTTATCTGGATTACTTTAACAGCCCCTTAAGCAGCCTGCTTGTTCTGGTCTTACCCCTCACTTGAGCCAGGGGCATCTTCCCGAGACACATTTTGCCTCTGTCTTGTTTCAAAACTCCAGTGACCCCTCCAAACTCCTTCTCCCATTCAACGCTCACCTGGGCAGAGCGACACCCTTCTCTCCACTGCACCTTCTTGGCACTTTGCACAAACAGCCACATTTACTGAACTCTTACTAAATGCTTAGTACCATAGTGAGCCAGTTATCTTTACAGCTTTATCCCACCCTTAACAGCATTCCCATGATTTTTATAGGAAGAGAGATTGGGGAACTGGCCCAAGGTCACACAGCTAGTAAGTAGCTGGGATTTATACCCAGATCTCTCTGGTTCCAAAGCTGGTGCTCTTCTCTGCTCTGACCTTGAGCCACCTCCTTCCAATTGTATCATGTTCTTATTTTTTCTATCTTTCCTGGTGTCTAAGAGGATGCCTCGCATATGCCTGGCATACAGTGGATGCGTATCGAATAAATGAATGACTCTATCCACATCCCCATTTGATTCTTACAACCACCCTGGGAACTAGGGAAGTTAAAACTTTTTTTATTATGTAATATTTCATGAATTTTTTAAATGTGTGATGAATATCTGACTTATGAAGACAAACATCTGTGAGCCCACCCCCCTAATTTAGGAGCTAGAACTTCACCAGCACTGTTGAAGTTACCTATTTTCCTCCCCAATTCTGTTCCCTGCCTCCCTCCAGAGTTCAACATGAGCCTGAACTTTGTGGTCACCATTCACTTGCTTTGAAAAAAAATTAGTGTCACCCTATGGGGATGAATCCTATACAATATATTGCTTTGTTTGCTTTTTGATATTTCTACAAATGGTACAATGCATCAACATTCCTCTTTGCTTGATTTTTTTTCATGCACCACTGTATTCTAAATACATGATTGTGCTGTCATTCATTCATTTTCTCAGTTGTCTAGTACTCCATTGTCTAATAGAGCTCAGTTACTTTACCCATTCTCCAGTGAATGGACATATAGGTTGTTTCTAGTTCTTTGCTATATAGGGCTGCCGTGATTATTCTTATACATGTCTCTTTCTCATACTTGCAGGAGTTTCTCTCAATTTCTCCTAATCTAGGAGTTTCATACCTAAGTTGAAATTGTGGGTCATCAGGTATGCACACGTTTAGCTTTACAAGTGCTGCCAAATCGTTTTCCAAAGTGCTTGTACCAGTCCCTTTCCTCTGCTATAGCAGTTGAGAGTTCTGGTTGCTCCTCATCCTCATCAACACTTAGTATTATCAGAATTTTCATTGTTCCAAATATGTCAGTCTTCATTTGCATTTCTCTGATAAGATGAAGTATCTTTACATTTGTTTATTTTTCACCCTGGTTTCTTTTTCAGTGACTTGCCTGTTCAAGCCTTTTGCCCACTTTTCTATTAAGCTGTTTAGTTAACTGCTTCGAGGCATTCTCGGGGAAGATTTTCCTTTGCTTCTTAATAGAATTAGAATCTGAGACCAAGTCACAGGGGTCAGAGCTGGGTCCCAAATGTACACCTACCTCATTCCAGGGCCCTTTGCATCAATCCCTTTGCCTCTCATTCATTCAGTCCTCAAATGTCTGCTGATGACTTTCTCAATAAATATTGGAGAGGGAGCAGAGAGTATGGCTAACAGTGTACTCTGGAGACCCTCTGCCCGGATTTTAATCTCTCTGCTACTCACTAGCTGTGACCTCAGATTCTAACCAGTCTTTACCTTAGTTTCCTTATCTAAAAAAAAAATAAGGATGATACTAACAGTACCTGTCTGACAGGATTGATATGTGGGGACAAAATGAGTTAATGGACATCAAAGAGTTTAGGACTGTATCCAGCACAATCAATGCTGAATAAATAATTAGCACATGGCAGGCACTGTGTCAGCAGGGCACTTGTTCTGGAAAACATGCAGATGAACTGATAGACAAGGGCCCTGCCCTCGTGGAGCTCACTCTCCGGTAGAAGGAAACGGGCACAAAACAAGTACATAAATGAATAAATAAATAAATAATGTGGCTCGAGTTAAGGACAAGGAAGAAAACCACAAGGTGACAAGATAGAGTGACCAGACACTGACTCATGCAGGATGGACATGCAGGGAAAGCCCCCTGCAGGAGGTGACCTTTGGGCTGAGGAATGGAGAATGAGAAAGAGCCACTCAAGCAAAGAGCAGAGAGGAAAGTAGCCCAGCAGAGCAAAGGGCACATGCAAAAGCCCTGAGGCAGGAAGAGCTTGGCATGTCCAGGAGACTTCCAGAAGATGAGATGGTTTGAGCCCAGTGAGCAAGGGGGCCAGGGGCAGGACAGGAGGGTGGGCAAGCCACAAGGGTGAAGCATCTAGACTTTACTCGAGGGCAGCGAGAGGTTTTGGACAGTGAAGTGTTGTGATCTGATTTATGTGTCTGAAAGATCACTTCGACTGCAGTGTGATCAGCTATCTATGAATTCATCTAAATACTTCTTGTAGGCACTAGTATTTTTAGCCAATACCCCCTCTGTGCAAAGTAAAACTTCCCTTTATTGGTCTTAAGTTTACTGCTTTCAGGTTTCAAGGGGAGCCCCCTTCCGCCTTGTGTCTGAGGATTATCAGTCCCAGGGTCAAGATTTTTACAGGCGGCAAGAAGAAGGCCTCCCAGGCGGCACCTTACCTGCTCTGTGATGTTTCCCTACCTGTAAAATGAGAGTGACCACCTCAGAGAGGCTGTGAGGATGAAAAGAGAGGTAGCTTGGTGGCAGGAAGTGCCAGGCCAGCTGCCATGAAGATGATGGGCATGGGGGTGATGGGGGTTCTTCTGTGTGATTTTGGGTGAGTCACTGAACCTCTCCACCCTGAGCTGAGAAATAATAAAAAAAAAAAGAAGGGTGTGGTAAAATAAGGGTGTTGGAAGGTGATCTGTGGGGATCCCAGCTCAGATATCCTCGAATTCTGTGATTTAGACCCTCTCTACCTCCTTTCAGCTTGGGTTTCTCTCTTCTCTGAAGATTTGTTGTTCCCTGCTGACATGTGATGAGAGATGGAGAAGCAGGGCAGAGAGAAAACTGGCCTGGAGTCCAGAGTCCGGAGGTTCCAGCTGCGTGACATTTACAGTGGAGTCATCACGATGCATCAACTTCCACACACTTAAACTCACGGGTAGGAGAGAAGAGAGTGAGATGTGGACAAATCACTACTATGGAGTTACACTCCCATCCCACCCTGTGAGCACTCACCTTGATGGGGACGTGACCTAATGTGACCTGATGCAGTCCCCCAGTCAGTCCCAGCAAAGTGTGGGCTCTTGTCGTGCCCCATTGATTCTGATGTTCAAAATTTTTATACTGCGGGGCCCTAAATACAAGCCAACCTTTTCATCTGGTGGTCAGCGGAAGCCACAGTTATCTGTAACAACACCAGAGAAAGAATCTGCCATATTCACTGTCAACTGATGGATGACCTTGCTTCCTGTTTTACTGGGAAAACAGAAGCCATCAGAAGGAAACTTCTCTAGAGTCCCACCTCACCCGCCCTCCACTCACCAGCTGGCATCCGTGCCCATTTCTCTGCTCCTCCCCCCCTTACATGGATGCCTAGTGTGAGCTTTTGAGACCACGCCCTCCACTGGGGCACTGTCCGCTGTCCTCTCTTGCTGTCTCCAGGACGGATCCTGCCATTTCTTCCTTCTCTTGTGCAGCTTCAAGTTTCCCCCTCTTCTACTGGTTTATTCCCATCAGCACACAATCATGCTGCAACTCCCAGTCTTAGAGGTACGCACGCACACACACATGGAGCCAGACACGTCTGTTTTCCTTTACAGGAAAACTTCTCCAAGAGTTTTCCAAGTTGAAAGTCTTAATTGTTGTTTTTCCTTTCTCTCTTCAACTCACTCTAGTTGGTCTTTCAACCCCACCACTCCACTGGACTGTGACCAGTGCCACGGTCAGTACTGGTCCTCAGCATCAGCATCTGACCAGGTGACTGAGCCATCCTTGTATACATCCTCCCCGTGTCTTCCTGGACCCCACCGTCTCAGTGCCCCTCCCAACCACAGGGCACCTTTGCAGTCTCCTCCCTCATCTTCCTGATGTCCACATGCTGGAGTTCCCTGGAAGTCAGCCCTTGGACCTCTCCTTTTCCACAGCACACTCCCCTGTTGCTCGCCTCTGGTCCTGAGGTTTCATATACATCCTGTATACTGATGGCTATAGATTTGTTTCTCCAGCCCAGACCTTCCCACCCAACTCCAGAATCATACATCTATACTCAAAGACCCGACTAGAAACCTGAACTTAATACAGAATGCTTAAATTTTACTCCTAAATCTGATCCTTCCTTGGTCTTCCCATATCTGCAAATGGCAAGTCCATCCTTCACGTTGCTCAGGCCACAGGCTGGGTCACCCTTGACCCCTCTCTCTTATACTCCGCAGGAACACCCCCATCCCTACCTTCAGAGGATATCCAGAATCTGGCCCTCACCACCTCCACGGGCTACGACCCACTTCCAAGGCACCATCATTTCCTGCCTGGATGTATGTAAAAGCTTCCCAGTGGGGCTCCCTGTTTCCTCCCTTGTCCCCGCTCCACATTCTACTTGCTGCTTAGTAGCTGGGATCATCTCTTAAAACTTGAGTCAAATTAGTTCAGTCCTCTTTCTAAACCCTCACATGGCTCTCTTCTTACTTGAAGAAAATCTTAACACCTTTCTGTGGCTGAGAAGGTCCTGCATGACCCCCTCACCTTGCCTCAGCTTGTTTTCCCTCCCTCGCTGCAACTGCACTGCAGTCCCTGCAGTACACACTTGCTGTCCCCCTGCCTCTGAAGACTGTTCTGGCCCATTTATCCATCCATAGCATTCACTTCTGCTCACTCTTATGGGAGCTTTCACTGGCCATCCCACATAAACAAGCACCCCATCCTCCCTCCCTCCCTCACTTCTGCCACTTTCTGGCACCCTCACTATCAGATGCACATTCCATTTTCTTGTTGGTTTATGTGTGTCTTGAATGTCTCCCTCCCTAGAATGTCAGCTCCACAAAGGTAGAGACTTTGTTTCATCCTCCACTGTATTATCCAGAACAGTGCCTGCCTCATAGTGAGTGTTCCATAAATACATATTATATGAATGAACGTGTTTGAATAACCAAGAAGCTATTTTTTGGGATCCACCGAGACATCTTCCTAAAGGATTTTCAGCATTTGTTCATTCAACAAACATTTTATGGGGTATTTTCTTTTTGTGCTAACTTTAAAAATGAACCCCATGGTATGATGAATTTCAATGTATTCTCTGTGTCATGCCCTTTCAAGACTCAGTCTGTGAGATGGAGTGACCATATATTCACCATACATTTGTCGAGCATCTATCGTGTGTTTGAGCCTGACATTCAGAAAGGAGAAATCAAAATAAGATAATCTCTGGAGGGAGAGACAGAGATGAAAATACATAATTTAAATATATAATTTAAATCCACAACTGCCCTAACAGTAAAAACATTGGTGAGGATGTGGGTGACTGGGGAGTCTCATGCATTATTAGTGGAATCTCATGCATAAATCGGCACAACCTTTGTGAAAGGCTTGTCCTTTAGCTCTGACTCTCCGGTCTAGGAATTTACCCTCAGGAGATTATCACCTAAAGGCAAAAAGACACAGGGATGTTCATTGATAATTTTTTTCATTATATTGAAAAATTGGAAACACCAATGTCCACCCATTGGGGGTTGGTTATGAAAATTATGATAGATCCATACAATGGACACTAGGGACCTTAAACATGATATTATGGAAGAATATTTAGTGAGACTTGGGAAGATATTTGCAGTATCTTATTATAAGTGAAAAAAGTTTTGAAAATTGCAGAGCAGTATGTGTTGTGATGTCATTCTTATAGACACATATCTGTATGTGTTTAAATCCAGGAAGATGTTCAGAAAAAGGGCTCCAACATGTTTAAAATGTGGTGGTTTCGATTGTTGAATTGAAGTGGTGGATGTACGGGTGTTGATTGTGTTTTCCTTTCAACCTTTCTGTATATTTGAAAAAAATCTTACAATAAGAAGTTGAAAGAAAATGTGGTTATTTTTGGGTAGAGTGATTTGGGAAGATTTTTTTTTCTTCTTTGTACTTTATTTCATTGAATTTTTGATAATCAGCTACCACCTGTACACAAATAATGAAGTAATTTCAAAATGAAACATAGCTCTTGTCACCCCAAATATTTAAATATATTAAAATATATAGTTGTCACAAATAGTTTTTTAAAAAGGAGACAATACAAATACCCGTGAAAGAAAATTGGGTAAATTAGTTGTGGTACACATACAGATATAACGTGCGACCGTTTAAAAAAATTGTTATAGGAAAGATATTTGTAGTATTTTGCTAAGTGAATAAACAATCCATAAAACCATTTGTACAGTATTAAGCCATTTTTGAAAAAAATCTAATGCCCACCCATAGGATAAACTGGAAATATCCATGCAAAATGTTAGCATAGTTTTCTTTGGGAAATGGAATTACAGGTGTTTTTTTCCCCCTTCCTTTTGCTTATTTGTAGGTCATATATCAGATTTATCCAAAAGAATTTTCTGTAGTGATGGAAATGTTCTGTGTCTCTGCTGCTCAATATGGTAGCCACTAGACACATGTGGCTACTGAGTACTTTAAATGTGGCTAGTGAGACTAAGGTATTGAACTTTAATTGTTACTTAAATTGCCACATGTAGTAAGTGGCTACTGCACTGACCAGTACAGTTCTAAACTCTAAACAAAAGAATACCTACTGGCTTTGCAAAGAGGAATAAAAAAGAGCTTTTCTTCTGCCCTGCTACCTGCAGAGCTTCTTTGAGATCTCAGTGAGGGGCAGTGAGTGTGAGGCTTTGAGGTGCTGTTTGTGACTCTTCTTCCTTTTGCCCGGGCCCTTCTTCTCCTCTTCTCCTGGGCTCTGAGATTAAGTCCTGCTAAAGAAAGCATCTCTGGGTGGCCTCTGGAAGTGGGGAGGGTGTTCTGGGGTCTGGCCCCTGCAGCTAAGGAGGCATTCTTTTGCTTATGCATTCTTTCAACAGCCATTGCAAGGCCTCCCCCTCCTGATCAGACACCACGCCAGGCACCAGGTACAGTGGGGAGATGACATGTGATATCGCCCTCATGGAGCTTAGAGTCCAAGCCTGGGAGGTATAGAGTGGAAGGCCACAAGGCTGACACAGAAGCCTGGCTGTGAGCCCCAGCTCGCCTCCTCTGGGCATGCCTAAATCTTCCTAAAACTCCATTTTCTCTTCTGTAAAAGTAGGAAAATAGTGATACTGCCCTGCCAATTCCACAGGGCTGATCAGAGCTGGGAAAGTGAATTACAAAGGTTTGCAGAGATGTTTGTGGTCAAAGAATGTGTTCTCCCTGGGGAAATGACTGGGTGCTGACAGCCAGTTCCAACACCCACTGTAGATATTATGAATATTTTATTACAACACATCAGCGTTTCTTCAAATAAAGTTAAAATATTAACCGTAGGAAGACCAGTAAAAGATGTAATCATGCATCCATACAGCATGTGGATCCCCTGTGATGTTCCAGGCCAAGTGGGATAGGGGGTCTGTCTGGACATGCAGATCCAGATTACAGTCCTTCCCTTGGGATCCTGACAAGGGAGCAGAGGGAACCATGGGGAAATAATCAAACTCCATTCAGCATTCCCTAGTGTATGCCAGGCTACCAGGGACACAATGGAATGAGACAGTCTTCGCTCTCAGGACGCTTTGAAAGGCAGAAGGGGCAGATAGTCATCAAATACCCACTCTAATTACAAACTGTGATGCATGCTAAAGCGGAGGAAGCTCAGAGTGCTATGAAGACATATGGGGGATCTTGATTTAGTGGTGGCAGGAGGGTTGGAGGTGATGTCTCTGAGAAGAGCAGGATCTGAAGGAGTTTCATATGGGGTGATGGCAAGGAAAAAGGGGTCCAGGTGGAAGAAACAGCATGTGCAGAGGCCCTGAGGTGGGAGGGAGAAGAGTGCTAGAGCCAGTGTGCTTGGAACCCAGTGGGCAGAAGGGATGGGAGCCATCGTGTGGCTGCAGAGGAGGCAGAGCCCGTAGGGCCTGGGGCACCATGTGGGAGCCCATGAAGAGTCGCAGGGGAGAGCAGTGTGAGCAGGTGTTCATTCTGGGAAGAACACTGACAGGACTGAAGGGAAGCAGGGTGGGCACAATGGTGGCTGGTGTAAGGGAGGTGGCAGCCAGGACACGGAGAAGGGGGGAGATTTGAGAGCCTTATGGAGGTAAATGACTCGGTGTTGGATTTGCTCCGGGGGAAGTGGCAAGACGGGTCTAGAGCGTTGAGCTCTGCGGAGATGACTTGATTAAAGCCGGCTGATTCCACTGGGAGCCTGTCTCACCTGGTTTGTGGGATGGGTTGCAGCGCCCCTGGTGGAGAGAAAGGGGAAAGACAACCTCTGCAGAGGAACCCTGAGGAATAACACTGCATGGGAGTCGACCTGCCCTGAAATGAAAGTAACATTTACTGAGTACTGGCCATATGCCAGGCCCTATTACAACCTTTATCATCTCATTTAATTCCACAACAGCCCCACAAGATTGGTGCTATTATCATTCCCATTTTACAGCTGAGGAAATGGAGGCTCAAAGAGGCGCTGCTGCTGGGGTGTGAACTCGTCAGGCTGACCACAGACCTGCCTGTTAGCCATGGTCATGGTCATTCTACTCCTGTGGCTTGGGGTGACGAGAGCCTGGAAGAGCTGTAGATGAAGAGGGATGAGGCCAAGGCTGGAGAGAGGGGCTGGACGCATCACGTTAGGGGATCTGCGTTTCATCGTAGCGGAATGGGGTTCTTAGGGTGAGGAACATGACATTAGATGTGCTTTTTTTCTAGAAATTGCTCTGGGACCAGGTAGGGGGAGGAAAAACCAGAGAGTGAGAGACTGAGGCAGGGTATGGGGGAGTACAGGGAAGAGGCCACTCTAACAGCAGAGGGTGGGGGTGTGAGGCTGGAGCAGCAGGGCCAGCAGGCTCCAGCAGGGGTGGACTCCAGACAGACAGCTCCCAGGGGAATTCTGCAGGTGGTCAGCAGGCAGAGGTGGAGAACGAGCAATAAAACTCAGGCAACAGGATGATGCTGTTTATTTTCTTCATGCATAGAGAAAACTCTTATTGAGCACCTACTAAGTGCCAGGTCCTGAGCAAAGTGCTGAGAATACAGAAAAAAAGATGGGATTGCTAGGCTGAAAAAGCCAAGAAGGGAAGTAGGAGACACGGGAAGAGAAGGAAGGAGAGACAATGATGAGTTTGCTTGGGGACGTATTGCGTTAGACTGGGGCTAACTAACCATGTGGCAATATCCACAGGGCACTGGATAAGGGTTTGGGACTCTGGAAAGGGGTTGAACTGGAGATGCAGGATTCTGAAAATTGAGTCTTGAGCACAACTTGTAAATTTACTGAAAATCTTTGCCCTGTACACATAAAACCAGTAAATTTTTATGATATATAAATGATAATAAGGTTTTAAACACATTTAGGAAAAAAAACAAATCTCATATTTCCTAGGAAGTCACAAAATGAAGGGGAGAACATTCCAGGGAGAAGGCAGGGGGCAGGAGTGAAAGCCTGGTGACATGAATGGGCGTATGACACAGAGTGGCAGAATCTGGGCAGCTTGGGAGGGAACAGAAGGAGATGGGGCCTTGCTCTCGGCCAGTTGTACCTGTCACGTTCCTGGGTGCTGACCCTCTACAGGTGCTTGCAGGAACCTTTGCATCCTAGATGGAATCAATCCTCCCCACAAACCCAAAAGGGGGGATTATGCCATTCTCATTTTACAGACCAGGAAACTGAGGTTTGGAGAGGTTAAGCAAGTTACCCGAAGTCACATTGCCTTTATTAAAGGGGGTAGAATAAGTCCAGTCTGGGTCTGTAGGCTCCAAAGTTTGGGCTCCTAATTAACACTCTAGACTGAGTTTCACCATATATAGCAAATGTCCCCATCCAAGCGGAGACAGCAGTAGGGCTGGGACCTGGCAGCCACGGCGTGGCCTGAGACACTGGCGCTACGATGTTGCCATCTGCTGGCCAAGATGTGGAGCTCTGCCTGCAACGGGAAGGCGCCCATTCACTCACTTGACACAATTCTTTTTCTGCCCCTCTTCTCGAACTTGCTGCCGCCCAACAGCCTCAGTAGGCAGGGATTGTTGTCTGGCCACAATTTACCAATCAGGAGACCAAGACTCAGAAAGGAGTGACTTCTCCTAAGATGACCCAGAGAAGCAGCGGAGGATCCAAGATACAAATCCAGGCCTGTGGGACGCTCTCCACGTGCTGCCCCTGGTGTGGACTTAGCCCTAGGAGAGCCCCTGAGGGCAGGTAGGGCATCTAGGCCAATTCCCTCCATTACTGGTTTACCGCTGGGTAACAGCTTCAGTAGGGCCCGCCTGCCAGGAGTGTCTCTGGGCCAGATTCTGGCCTGCCGAGGTTACTTCGGGATCTGCATGGGGTTACACTGGGGTCTTGGGCTGGGCAGAAGCTCCATCCCCTCCCCACCAGGGAAGCTAAGCCAGGCAGCATTTCTCTTTGGGCGAGTGGCTGCCCTTTCTCCTTCCCCAGTCCCTGGAGTGTTCTGGGTCTCAGGTGGGAGAAGGTGGGCAGGGGAGGAGAAGGGAGGCCCAGGTAGAAGCAGGGACAGTGGGCTGGAGAAGGAGAGGCAGGTTGGGCCAAAGCAAGGCCAAGGGAGGGATACTGACAACAAAGGTTCTAGGCTGAGCCACCACCACTGAGAGACAGGTGCAGAGGGAGGGGCTTTGTGGGGATAGCACCCCTAACCCCCTTAGTAATCCTAAGATGGGAAGGACTATTACCCTCATTTACAGCTGAGGAGCAGCATCGGGGAGTTCAAATAACGTGTCCAAGGTCACATGCAGGCACATACAAAGCTGGAATATGAACCCAGGGAAGTGTGACTCCTAGGAGAAAGGGACTGATGGAAAGGAGAAAGGGCCAGCAGATAGGCTGGGAGGGGCTTGCCATTGTGCGTGCATGTGTCTCAGGGAGAGAGAGTGTTGGAGGGT